CGGAACAGACCGAGACATCAGAGAGACACCCGGGAGAGGGCGACGCGCATCAGAGGCATGGGTGAGGACAAACGAGCCCAGGCGCAGCAAGCGAAGGGTGTACAAACAACAGAGTACGACGACCTTGTGATGCTGGTACTGGCAAAGTGCAAGCACGCACGCGACAACCGACAACCTCGCGCACCCGCGTGAATATAGAAACAAATGCCAGCGTCGAGAGAAGCCGGGGTGTTTGTCACAAGTGTCTGCGGCCGGGGGGGGGGTATCCTATTCACCTCCCTGTTGTCTCCAATAGAAGGTAATTTCATTGCCAACTTCTAGTCTTGGGAGTCATGGATTGCCGGTCATGTCCTCAACTGCCCTACTAGAAAAATCTCCAGTATATCTTCGGCGACTTCTAGTGCTGATGGTTAAATGGTTGGCATGCACGCTTTTGACAGCCTGAGCCAAGACAATGACACCTTACAGCATACTGTAATATTCAATGTGTTGCGGTCGGCATGCACACTCATACGTTCCAGCAGTGTTTGATGTCCCTTTTGCACCCACCGACGAGTCGATGAATGACATGTTTAACCTCAGCCGTGTTTTTTTTTTTCACTCACCGACGGGCGCAGCGGATCCGTAGTCAGGCACAACGGGCGCAGGGGTGTAGTCGTCGATCACGCACGGCGATACCCCTGTCACGCTGCACAGATTTCCCGCCAGCTGTTGTACACGGAGCAAAAAAACATAGACAAAAGACAGAACAAAACACTCAGCAAACATTTTACAATTGAATATTCTACCCCTTTTCGTGGGTAGTTTGCCTGTGACCACGAAAGGCGTCAAAAACTAACCCAAGTATCATCCATTTTTCAATACTACAAGTGCTGTTTACGCTTTTGGTGGGTAGTCGGCATATTGCCATTGCCACGCAAGTAGTCTCGGCATTGTCGTAGTCCTTTTCAATCTCAAGCCTGTCTTTAGCTTGTCCGTGTTGTGTTGAGATTGAGTCCGCAGGCGAGCTTGTTCGAAGGCTACTTTCTTGCAATCGCGGTCACGTTCAACTCCCCAGCGCGCCTCTCCATTGCCTTTGGTTCGGCAGCTTCCGCCGTGCAATTCTCCTTCCAACTATTGCTGGAACTTGCCCTCCTACAGCGTCATTGATTTGTCTACCGTAAATGACACAAGATAACACGCCCCCTGGACCGATTTTCAAATATCGATTTCTCAACAACAGCAAGAGTCATGGCGCCGAAAACGGCGGCGTTGGAACCGTCTCGTCGAGAGCTTTCCAAAAATGTATCGTTTCGTTTATGCATCCTCTTCGTCGTGGAGTAATCGAGCTTTGAAAATTGGTGTAGGGGGTGTGTTGCCTTATGTCATATACGGTAGGCAAACCCCGTCCCTTTCGTCAAAAATCTATATTCCGCGCCATGTACGTGTAGGAGGACAAGTTCTAGCGACAGTAGGAAGGAGAATGGCACGGCGGAAGCTGCCGAACCGAAGCCGATGCGGAGGCGCGCTGGGAACATGAAACTGACCGCAATTGCAAGAAAGTAGTCTTCCAACAAGCCAGCCTGCGGGCTGAATCTCAGCACAACACGGACATGCTGAGCGTAGAAAAAAGCCAGGCTTCAGATTGAAAGGACCACAAATACGTCCGTGTCAGCTGCACCGGTAGACGTGGATGTGAAAAGGTACTGAGCAGAACTCGGCACGGATCATAACGCGTCTGAATGACAACAACAACATGCACGGTGTCCTTGATGTCCTTGATACCGCCCCTTGCAATGCGGCTGCGCATCCACGTGCTTATCCCGATTTTCGAAAGTCTTTTTTCTTCTAGTCCTCCCTTCAACTCAGCGCTCACAGCACTCGTGCCGTTTACGCCAACCCGTGGTCACACTAAAGGATTCCTCTCCCTGAGGTCCCCTACTATCCCCTCCTGCGGTACTTTGCCTTCAATTATAATGCGAGGAGAGTGCGGTACTCTCTCCTCCTTTCTCCCCCTCTCTGTGTACACGGAAACAATGACAATGTGTAGCGCTTTCCACTCAGGCCAGGAACGGAAATGAAAGAAACGACGGCCACAAAATGCACATGAGCGGTTGCCCAATCCCCTCATTACCTCCCAGGTTACGCCTGTAGACCGCCAAAACATCTTACATATGCAAGTGGGCATTCGCAAGAACGGCCACCAGAGCACCAACAGCACAGCAAAAATCCGTCGAGGTATTCGTTAATGTTTGCAACACACGACTCCAGAACACCGACAGCAACACGAGAGGCCGCAACAGCACCAAATTACCGTTGGTGGCACAAGATTTACAGCTACAAAAAGTAAGTGCTTCATGAACATTACTCGGAAATGATTATTTTCCATGGATCGATTTTCACAACTCCACTATTACCATTGTACTCTACGACCAAGAGGGCGCGTGTTGTGAGCCAACGACAGCTTTTCGGGAAGCTCTCGGAGAGACGGTTACGACGCCGCTCCGGAGGAACCGAGGTTGAACATGAGTCCAGGGGTGTGGTATCTTGCGTCATCTACCGCATATACACCCGAGGGCGATGACGCAGTGCTGTAGCTTTATCTTGTTTTTAGTAGCGGGGTACGCGGTGGGTTTGGGGTTAGGGATATAGGGATGCGAACCCCCCCTGTCTATTTCACAGATTAAAAATAAAATTCTCGCCAACGCGGTCCTGACGACCATAGAGTCAGAGGAAAGTGTTCGGGTTGAATAGCAACTAGCGCACCTCGACGTCCGAAGAGCAGCATGCAGAAGCACCGGCCGTGCCGGGGACAGCCCCGCAGCCCCCACCTCCGCACTGCCCGCAGTTTGCCGCACAGCACTGTTGATCACGTGGTGGATCACGTGGCATAAGCGTCGCACCACGCCCACCCCGGGGGAATCAACACACGACATTTGGTCGAGCAGGGAACAGGGTACGAGCAGCAGCGGGTTAGAAAGTGGAAGAGGAGGCGGTGGTGTTGTTAATGTCGTTGTTGTTGTCTTCCCATTAAAAACCGTTCCGATATGGAATAGGTTTTTACTATAAGCCACGCAAAACCCAATATAAACTTGGATAAAGCAAGAAAAGGGAGCCCTGGAGGGGGGGGGGGGGGGNNNGGGGGGGGGGGGGGGGGGGGGGGGGGGGGGGGGGGGGGAGGGGTAGCGGTACGCCCTTGCATGCACTCCCGGAGCCCTCTTCAAGGTGTGCCCGTGGTCCTGTTGGAATTTCTCTCCTTGCTCTAAACATCACCCTCACCCGAAAACGAACGTGGCGCCCCCCGAAACATAGCGGGCTAGGCAAATCTTAACCTTTCGACGATCCTGCCTTTAACTACAACACATACATACAACCTATCAAAGAGTGCCCCCAAAAATATTAAAACAACATGAGAGAGAACGTATCCCTCCTAAAGGAAACAAAAGCAAAAAGCAAATCAAGAGAGAGATATATATATATATATAGAGAGAGAGAGAGATTCTGTCATGAGTCTACCCTCTAGCTCACATGTCCGAAAACAAAACACCAAAAACACACGAGAGAAAATCCCTCCGAAAATTAGTGCCGGTGTGATAAAAAGCAATCGAGAGATTGGAATGAAATAAATTTGTCTTCTCTTCTCATGCCTCTTACCGCAGGGCCATCCTGGTACCCCGGAATCCCGTTGCTGCACGTCGACGTTCCTGGTTGGTTGAAACGGAATCAAACACGCCACCCGGGTGTTCCATTCATCGATTAGTCAGTTGGACCGGGTACGGATGCAAAAACGTACCGCTTGAGACGACACCGGGCATAGTAATGTGAAGGCAACAAAAACAAGTCAGTCGAGAGGTTCTTACCGTACGGAGCCGTGGTTCCGCCGCCGACAACGGCAGGTGCGGGGGTGTATCCCTCGATGATGCACGGGGCCTCACCGCAGACCTGGGTTTTTGTTTCGTTTTTTCATTTCGAGAACGAGAGAGGAAAAAAAGCAAAAGGAATGCAAATGAACTGGCTGAGATCAGAGTATGAAATATGGAAACAAAACGGCAGGTACAGGGGTGTATCTCTCGATGATACACGGGGCTTCACCGCAGACCTATTTTTTTAGAAAACACACCGATGCCACAAGATAATGGCAGGAGCCGTTGATCGTTCATATTTGGGCGGGGTGTGTGGAAAGGTGGAGAGGGGGAGGTGGGGTCAAGACAGTTTGGTTGAGGGGGTGATTGTGATGGGGGAAAAAGGTGCACACTCGCTGCAAATCTACTGTATGCATCCCATATTTCTGGCGTAGTACCCACACGCCATGGGTATCGAGCTCGTCATGCAATGTGCGTGTGTGAACAAACACACGGGAGTGCTTAGATGCCTATTAAATAGCTTGTTCACGACTGCTGTTGACTGTGAAGAGGACAAGGCTTAGGTTTCTTCGCTGGAAATACGTCACACGTGTAGTATCGTATGATGCATTGTGTGCCTCGGAGTTGTCGTTCTTGCGAAGGACAGCAAGAAGAGCCCTACCCGCCGATATCAGAAGGGGTGATGATGTGACATGACGTTGACGTTCTCGACCAACAAGACAAGCGTTTCTTTTTCAAATGAACAGCCCGGCGTAGACTGTCCGGGATGCAGGGGGCCCGATTGGGGAGCACTTCGCTGGGGTGTAACGCTCGAGGCGCGCGACCGCCCAGCCCCGCGACCGACTGGTGCTGGTGGAAAGACTTTCCTAGTTGACACCGCCAAAAGGGGGCGTCCATCGGAGCTCTTGCGCGGGCCAGGCGAAGGGTCGAAGCTAACAACCTCTAGTTTAGTCCCGCTGCTTTGCTCACAGCGCTCCAGTTCTGAGCTCTCAGCGCTCGAGAGCTGAAGCATCATTGTCTGTACCTCTTTTCCAGCAGGAGGGCAGCCCAGCCTGACCTTGCCCGGCCAAGGGCTGAGAAGGACGCTTGATAGCTAGTGGAGAAGCGGCAGCCACGAGGCCACTTCGCCAGCTGGTGGAGTCACCGTACCCCGACTGGTCACACGGCGCGAAGTGGCCTCGTGGCTGCCGCTTCTCCACTAGCTATCAAGCGTCCTTCGCAGCCCTTGCCCGGGTACAGGTAAGCCCAAGCTGGGTTGCCCTCTGCTGGATAGACCTAGCCTTCGGAGCTCGGGCTACAGCCGCGGACGAGTTACGATTGGCGGGAGAAGACCTCGATACACAGGGCGTGCATGTTTTCCAAAGAACGGCTAGTGTTGAGAGGAGAGCGGTTGTGGAAACCGCTGTGGCAAGTACGGCTGCGCGTTCGAACTTGCCCCCATAATACAAACGGGTGTGGAATATACCTGCTCAAACCATCGGACATCGCTGAACAAATCTATCTTCTCAAAAAAAGCCGTTATTGGCAGTCAAACTTTAATTTAGTCGCGTCAGCGTGCACATCTCCGCTTCCACCCCGAAAGTACGGCTTTCAGGAAACGACAACGTTGTGTTCAACAGTCGAATACGGCTCCCCCTGATCGAACAACATGTACGGTATAAAACCCGACCCGGGGGGTGCGGTATCTTACGGCATGCATTTGCATGATCCCTCACCACTCCCGCTGCGAGGATGTCCGAAGGGCAGCAGTTGTCCGAGCCACCAGTCCCCGGGATGGTGCCGCAACCGTCCCCTCCGCACCTGCCACAGATCTCTAAGCAGCAAATGACTCCGTCCTGGTAACCAGGGATCCCGTTCGAACACGTCGAAGGAGCTGCAGGGGTGGGGGGGGGGAGGAGCGTGCTCATGTTTTGCATGCCTAAGGTGTTGGCCACGGACGCGTCCTCGAGAGGACGGAGCGTTGTTACCACAGGACGATGGGTGGCCAATCGTTCCTTCTTAGTTTGCCAACGATGGGTCAAAAATGTTATTGTTCTCTTGCTATATCTCCTATCGATACCGCTTCCCGCCTTTTATGCCGCGCGGGGTGGGGGGGGAGGAGTACTCATGTTTTGCATGCTATTCTAGGGGCGAGTGTATTATTATTTGTACAAAAAAGCTGAGTCTGAGTGTTCACTTGGGTTTCCTGTCAACGAACACCGTGGGATTACCACATCACCACAACCTTTCACGGAAACAACTCACCGACAGGAGCAGCGGTTCCGTCCAAGGCCGGGTTCAGCGGTGATGGGGTGAATCCCTCCATCACGCAGGGTGCTTCCCCGCAGAATACCCCGCCGGACTCCTCCTTGATCGTGTCCGGGCAGCAGTCGGAGGCCCCGTTGGTTCCCGCGATAGCACCGCACCCCACTCCCCCGCACTGCCCGCAGGCCTCCAAGCAGCAAACTTCGCCGTCGCTGACCCCGGGGATGCCGTTCGAGCACGTGGACGGTGCTGAACAAAAAAAAAAAAACACGCGCGGGGTAGATCGTAGATTGATGGGACCTGTACGCTGGCGATATTTTCAACACACACATCTGCCCCCCCCCTCGTGTAAGGGTATTACGCTGGCTCTGTTTTTAACAGAAAGACCTGCGTCCGTAGAAACCTTTGATTGTCGGCGGGGGTGCAATCGGTTGTATAGGCGACACAGCGGTGCTGGTGGTGGCCACTGATACAGCGACCAAAGCTACAAGACCGAACAGTTTAGGAGGGTCTTATGGCGGGCAACGGGTGCTATTCGGAGATGGGATGGGCAATTCCAATATTCACTATTCGATCTGCTTCACACGATTTCACCGGCCTTATTATCTGCAGGGCGATCGGCCGTATGAAAAAGGGGTCATTGTGCAGGGACGGACCACTGCTGCACTAAACACGAAATAGGAGGCACAGCACAGCAGTTGTCATCGCGAGCTGTCGTTTCAGTGCAGCGACTCAAATGTGCGCGGCAGAGGCAAGAACATGAAGACGAATTTCCTTCCAACTATACGAGCACTGCCACACGTTCGTTGCTCGTATACACTCCACCCCTGAAAAAAAAAAAACTACAGTACGTACGTAAATACACAACGTGGCTGTTGCAATACCGTAAAAATATCAAGTACGCACATGTGTACTTGAAAGAGATTGTCTTAATGGCGCTACTGCTGCTGTGCTGCTGTGTGTACTGCTGTGCGCCACCTTACCGTACGGAGCAGGGGTTCCGGTAGGCGCGGGAGCGACCGGTGTCGGGGTTGTCGCTGCCATCAACAGCAACAACAGCAACAAGAGCACAGCAACAGCAGCAACAGCAGCAGTGGCAAGGGAAAAATCAGAAGCAGCAGCAGCAGCAGCAACACCAACACCAGCATCTACCAACTGAAAGAGTGAGAAAGTGTTTGGTAGAAAACATTACAATATGAAGAGAGGTGGACAAATGCTGCTTCGTGTTCTCAAACCTACGGAACACTGCCCGGACTCTTCATGCGTACAGTACTGTAGCCACCCAAACCATATGACCCCCCTCACACCGTGCATCCCCTGCTGCCGTCTCAGCAACACTCGTTGCCTGCAACCAACCCGCTTTCCCCCCAAACAAGGTGTTGCAACCACCTTTTCGACGTTGTCGAGAAGACTCTCTCTATCTTCTCTCAAGGTGCTAAATTCGCTTTTTACCATAGGCCAGTGCTTTCGAACGAAGGCCACACTCTCCCTCTCTCAACGTCTTCAGCCCTTCTTCACCATGAGTCAATGCTTTGCAAGGCAGGCCGAACTTCCCTTCTCTCCGGGTATTGCTCCTCGTTGACATGAGTCGTCAATGCATTCAACGCAGGCCACTCCCTCCCTCTCTCTCTCTCTCTCTCTCTCTCTCTCTCTCACATACACACACTCTCTCAAGGTGTTCACACTTTCTAACAGAGGCCAATATCTCCCTCCCTCCCGGTGACCATCGGGGTTGGGTTTTCGTCACTTGGCAACGACGTTGTAAGACAAGCCCCCCCCTCGGTGTTTGCCATCGGGATTGGGTTTTCGTCGCTTGGCAACCACGTTGTAAAACAAGCCAATTCACTTCGTGAACTCGGCAATCAGGTTACCGTTTTTCTTTTTACTTCCGTTTTTTGGCGGTAACCATACTGGTGGTCGAGTAGATCATGTTGTGCGGGGTGGAGAACCCTCGCTCCGCGCAAGGGGGATGATCGCACCACGTTGTGTTAAAATGGTCAAGCACCCTCGAGGCAGTTACACAGTGCTTACAACTGTCTCTGGAAGTGAAAGCACCAGAAAATAAATTAATTCATACGCAGCTGTCATCCGTACGCAAGGAAGTAAGCACAAGATGCCGAACACCCTTAGCAGGATGCAGCGCACCCTTCATGCGACTCGCCGAATATCTCACGGCGCTTCGCGCTTGGTGATGTGAGAGCCTGGTCCGGTGAGAACCCGGCGTGCTCCGTCCCGGCTTTGTAGGGATGCGAGGTCAATGGTCTAACGATTACGGGATGCACGACTATAAGTACCCCCCTCCCCCCCCTCTCGTGAGGTATTAGGCTCGGCTCGTCTTTACCATGACTCAACACCTTCAAACGGAGGCCACTACCCCCCCCTTTCAGTTGATCAGTGCACCCAATAAACCTTAACCTTGCCACTGCTCACCAACAGGGTCACTCGCGCCAGCGGTGGGGGAGGTTGACGTCTCAAGGGGGGCAGCTGTTTCGGTTGGGGCCTCAGACGGTCCCTCATCCACCACCGGCGCAGGCGTTTCAGTTCCTTCCTCCACCACCGGGGCAGGCGTTTCGCTTCCTTCCACTACCGGGGTTGGGGTCTCAGGCGTCTCATCTTCCCCTGCCACCGGGGAAGGCGTTTCGCTTCCTTCCTCCACCACCGGGGATGGGGTCTCAGGTGTCCCCTCTTCCCCTGCCACCGGGGCAGGCGTTTCGCTTCCTTCCTCCACCACCGGGGTTGGGGTCTCAGGTGTCCCCGCTTCCCCAGCCATCGGGGCAGGCGTTTCAGAAGCCCCTTCGGTGGGGGCGTCAGATGCCCCCCCTTCCTCGGTCACCGGGGTCGGTGTCTCTCCTACACTAGTCTCTTGGGGCACCGGTGCAGGCGTTTCGACCGTCTCGCTTCCTTCCTCTGCAGCAGAGAACGTATTTGGGAAAGGGCTTGAGGGGTTTGGCTCGTTAGTGGGAGGTTCAGTACGTGTTCGTCCTCGGGACAGGGTTGAGGGTTAGGCTCGTCGTATACAAGTGAGAGCCTTTTTTCAACGTGGGATGGGGGCTAGGAAGCGGTGTGTTTTGCCTGCCAAGGTAGCCAGTCAGTGATTTGCCCGTTCGTACGGGTGGGGGCCGGAGGTGGGCGGAAGGAAAAGCAACATTTCAGCCAGCGCCAGCAGCACACCTTACAAAAAAAAACGCAGTAGACATTGAGTTTTAGGAAAAATAATAAATACAGACACAGAAACAATATCTACAGCAGTGCCGCAAACTACAAGAAGAGTTTGTTTAGCGTTTGTAACATATTCGGAAACATAAATACAAACGTTCGTAACATATTCACCACAGCCGACGGAAATGTTACCGAGGTCGGCGGGTTACCGGAGGTTGCATAAGATATCACACCCCCATGGGCCGATTTTCAAAGCTTGATTACTCGGCTGGGAAAGCAGCGACGGTATCGAAAATGGCAGAGTCGGAACCGTCTCTTCGGGAGCTTTCCGAACACGTGTCGTTTGCCTTCGGCACCCTCTTAGTCGTGGAGTAATCGAGCTTCGAAAATCGGTCCAGCGGGTGTGGTATCTTACGCAACCTACGGTATAGCCCTTCCCGCCCGGAGTATCTACTACTCCCCATCGTTTGTCGCAACGTATGGTACAGCAGACACAAACCACATCAGACCATACCTTCGGGAGCAGGAGTTTCTCCTCCATCTGTTTCCGCGACCGGAGTCGGGGTTTCAACGGGAGTCTCCTCATCATCCGCTCCCGGGGAAGGGGAAGGCGTCTCCTCCTGAAGGGACCGCGACAGGACGCCTCCTTTCAGAGAGGAACCGTCGACAACACCAACGCCGTTCTCCCCGCCGATGGCGGCAGCAGTGCTCGCCGAGACCGTGTGGTGGCGGGCTGTGTCAGTCAGAGGCACGAGAGGAGGAAGAAGACGGACGGCCACGAGACAATAACGCCAAAGTGTTGAGCCAATCAGGCGAGACCGACTACAGGAGCAGGGGGGTACTAATGTTTCTTCTGGGGGGGGGAGGGGGGGGGGACGTACTCTTATGTTTTGCATGCCTTAGCGGTTAGACCATTGACCATGCGTCCTCGAGAGGACGGAGCATTCTTCCCACAGGACCGATCACCGATGCCCAATCGTTCATTTCTACTTTGCCAAAGGTGGCTCAAAAATGCCTTCCCTAGTCTGTCTATCCTAACGATATCCCTTCCCGCCTTTTCAAACCACCTCCAGAAAGAGCAGCTACCGTCCTTTCCTCTCTATTCCATGCCTCAAACATCTCCCTGTACGTCACATCTATTTTTCCCAGCTCAGTCACGTACACTTTCCTCTCCTTCCTGTACCACGGACATTCCGCGACTACATGAACACGGTCTTCGCATTCGAAGCCGCAATCACATTTGAACTCGTCGTCTTCGTCGTCTACTGTCCTATGTCTTAGTCGACGTTCTCGAAGGCCTATGGCCCCGGTCCTGAATTTGACCTNACATCTCCCTGTACGTCACATCTATTTTTCCCAGCTCAGTCACGTACACTTTCCTCTCCTTCTTGTACAACGGAC